ATCACAAACAGGGACAAGTGTAGCCTACTGACAGCGCAGCGTCATACTTCATTAAGTAAACTAATATTAGACAAATATGAACTTTAAACATCCATGACTTAAACATATAATCCAGGATACAAGCCACATAGTTGCACCTGCAAGGAGAATATAGAACAACTTAAAAAACAACTACAGAGTGTTTTAAAAACGTATAACAGTTTTATGATATCACTGCCCCATCTAAGACACGAGTGGATCTGACTTTAATTACATTTGAGTTGAGTGTTTCGTCAACTTAATGTGTTTGCTTAAAATAATACGTCTGCATACAGTAGGCCTATGTGACAATGTAAGTGTTGCACGGCCAGATACGGCTCGAGAAGCTGACTCAGATAAGGAAATATTGTGATATTATATGATCGATGATCTGATTGACAAGTGCCAGTGCCTCACCAGCCATGAACCTCACTGCAGAAGCTTATAGACATCTAAGTTTTTTGTGCCCCACCACTTTTTACATATAAAAATGCCACTGCGCGCCGCCTATGAGTAACGCACCCATTTAAATCACAGTAACTATAACGGCGTTACTTAATAAAAATAGGTAACTAGTAACGTTATTAGTTTACCCGCAAAAGGTAGTTGCGTTACAGTAACGCGTTAGTTTGTAACGCGTTAGTCCCAACATTGCACAGCATACATAAAGCAATGTCTCTACAGCTGAGTGTATGCTTTATTGCTTTTATAAAGTTTCATGAATACATGCTTAGTCATGAGATAACTGACCCATGACACTTTAAAAGGACAAAAGTCCCATGATCAGATCAATTGTCACCCTCTCTGTGGTCACCCTGTGACTGGTCAGCCACCTGAGGGATGATATCTCAACTACATTGATCTACTATCTTTTGACATGTTAGGCTTACAGAATATTATTATTCATACAGCATCATAGCATTCAGTTCTTTAAACATCATCACATCCATGACAGCTGCTACACCAAAGTGGTGAGCTCACACAGAAGGAACAGAAGTGTTTTGAAAATGACAAACTCAAGACTCTAGCCTGCTACAATATCTGTGAAGTGTTTGCAGAGTGCAGAGATGGAAAGAAAATGTTGCGAATAGTTTAGCTTAGCTTTCTGCTAACCCTAACCAATGCTTCTAGACCAAAGTGGTGAGCTCATAGAGAATGCTAAACTATTAGCAATAAAGATAAAACATTGCTTAAGGTTCATGCTAGCCACAGTCGTGAGCTTTTGGGTACGGTAAGCCTACACTGTAAAAAAAAAAGAAGTTTTTTCACAGAAATGTACTGTATTATTTTACAGACCTTTCTTGTTTTTCTATATTACGTGTAAATACCATAAAATACAGTAAATTACTTTTATTTAAAATAAATAAAGGTTTTATTCTGTAAATTAGTTTGATGAGAAATTATTGTTTTTTTACAGGATAATTCCATTGTTTAATTGTCTTGAATGTTAAATTACATTATGTAAAAACGCATAAAATGCACATAATTTTACTGCATGTAAAATGAAGGCAACTTTCTTTTTTTTGTTGCAGTAAAACCTTAAATGTAATGTAACAAAATGTAAAAAAAAATAAAAATAACTGTATTCTGTACTGTTGTAGAATAAAAGAAATCTTATTATAAAACATCTCTAAAATGTTAATAAATGTATACATCTTCACAAAAAATGTAATATATTGCAGAAATACCCAAAAATGATTTTGTGTAAATAAAGTAGTTTCATAGTATACTAAAAAAGTGTCAAATAAAAAAAATGTAAAATGTATGTAAAAATCTACGGCACTTGAAATGGAATCCAGCCATACAACGGCAGACAAGACAAGCAGGATTGGAATGAGTCCACAACACTCCTGATTGGTTGATATAAACGTCATCCAAAAAGCCTGCCAATGAGCACTGTCGGCGCCTTTCAATCCAATTTGAAACTTCCACGTCAGTTTGAGCGGCTCTCCTGCAGAGCTACAGCGGTCTGTATGTCTGCTCACGAGTTTATGGACTAATATCGGGATAGTTTTACATCTACACGTTAAATATGAGCATCGGGACGTCAACAGAGAACAGAAGACTTGAGATCTGGTGAGTCCTGCAACTGTAATGGAGTTAAACATGTATTTAGATAATCCTTAGTTTGTGAATGTTTAATTGTGTATTTAAGGTTACGTTTTCTTCGTCTAGTTCAGTGAGTTTTGAGTGATGAGACATATATTTTAAGGAAATCTGTGGAATCTCAGCTTTCATATGATACGTTTGTGCAGATAGCATGAAGTAAAAAAGATCGCTTTTGCCAGTTATGTGCTAAAGTAGCGTTAGCCCCGTTAGCTGTTAGACTTGTGTTTCGTGTAGTTACAAATGGTTAATATCGTCAGTTAGCTGAGTTTTCTTCCCGTTAAGTGGGTAAGCATCATTAATAGGTTGTTACATTTTAAGAAGTCCTGAGATGCTGTTTCTTGCAAGATGTCCCACCGGCGGGACAATTGGGCTATACAGGTTAACGAGGTGGCTGCTAACGTTAGCTTACAGCTTATTGCAGTGCTGCCGCTGTCAGTACCAGATATGTTCGGCCTACCAGATATGTTCGGGTGTATTTCCGTCGCATCCGTCATCCGTCATATCCGTCATATACTCACCTCCCTCTGCTCCCAGCGCTATGCTGCCACACACCGGCCGTCTGCGGAACTGCAGCCGGAGGAACTCGGTACAGCTTGTTATGTGTGAACGATCTAGATCCCTCCGCTTCCCCATAATTACCGCGAACATTTTAACTTTCATGACAGAAATGGAGAGCTTTTATGCTGAGATAAAGCAGTACGTGCTCAATGGTGGTTACCACAATCTCACCATCGCCGCTGAAAAGCCTGATAAAAGGAAGGCGTTCATTCGGAGGGCATCCAAACAATACCTGATCAAAGGTAAGTAACAGAATAAGACCATGGTTAAGTCACGAACATACGTTTTTATTATGAGGTATAAACCCCCTGTACATGTGACATCATCAAATCCCTTTACTTATAGGGATCAATAAAGTATATATCTATCTATCTATTTATCTAATGGTGTTTTTTGGTGCAAAAGTGATCATACCTCTAATGGTTTATCATATTGCAATTCCAACATTTTTCAGTAAATCGCAAGGACTCCACAGCTTGTTTCTCCTTTTTCTTTTTATACACACTTTACATTACTGTAGTTGTTACGTCTAAACCACATTTGCCACTGGATTTCTTGAACAGCTTTTAGTCATAATGTCATCTCTACACATGTCCCAAATGATTGTTTTTTTGTTCCTGTTGTGCCAGCTGGAGATTTGTACTACACATACAAGGACAATGAGAGGATGGTTGTGTGCACCAAGGACCAAATTATCAATGTCCTGAAGGAGTGCCATGATAACCTGGGTTCCGGAGGTCATGCAGGGAGAAGGCGCACCACCGAGAAGGGTTTTGGCAACGTACCACTGGTCCACTATGCGGGAGGACGTGAAGAAATGGGTGGGAGTTTTTGACTGACTGACTGATTATTGATCTACAGAAATGTGTTGTATGTGTACATTGAAACAGAGTGAGACAGTTTTGAGCTCCATCAGAGCAGAGAAAACATATTTCAGAACTTTAACAGTTTAATTCTGTCTCCTCTGAAAGTTTTCTCTGTTCTATCATTTTATACCTAAAGTTTTTGTTTTGCTGATTGAAAATGTATGATATTTGCTAAGGTTGATGAGTGTCCCCGCTGCCAGCAACACGAGGTCATTAAAACGGTTTGCACCCGTACTGCATCCCATTCATGTTCCCGAGGCATGGACTGTCCTTGGTGTGGATCTCATTGGCCCACTTCCCTCCACTGCTAAGGGCAAAAGGTACTATCATGATGGGCTGAAGCATGTGTAACCTCCTTTAAAGGTTCTAAACGTGAAGAATCTGGTTTTAAAAAAGAAAGGAAATCATTTACAGTGATTCTGTATGTATTTACAACATTCTGCATTTTATATTGCAGATACATTCTAACAGCGACTGATCTGTTCACGAAGTGGGTGGTAGCAAAAACGCTCTACCACAAAACAGCTGTTGAGGTCTCAAAAAAGATTGGTAAATATTCTTCTCGATTTCGGTCTTGTCGAGAAGATCATTACCGACCAAGGACGGGAATTTGTCAATGAGGTACAATAATCTATCTAATACAGTGTATGTGTTATGTGTAACAATGTAATTTGGTAATTGGTGTACACTAAACCATCTGCAGGTCAACCGTGGTGTTTTGATGCACTGGGTGTAAAACACTGCATCACTTCAGCGTACCATCCCCAGTGCAATGGCCAAGATGAGCGTACAAACCAAAACATAAAAAAAAGCACTTGCAAAGTACTGTGGAGAGGACCAGAATGACTGGGATTTACATCTGAGGGGCATTGTGGCGAGCATTAACACCTCAAAGCAGGTACAATGTTGTAACAAATGCAGATGGAAACAATACTCAACAGAGATACTAAAAGGAATTTTTATGCTTTCAGAGGTCAACCAAGTGCACGCCCTATTTGCCCAGTTTGGGAGGCACCCTCGCGTCCCGGGTGTTATAAATGCTACAGTCAATGACAGGGATGATACCTCTGTTTTGGTGCCTGCTGATGAGGCAGAACAGCAGCTTGAGGCAAAGGCTGCAACCATTGCAGATTTGCACTCGAAGGTGAGAATAAAATGGCAATATTTAAAACATAATAACTCCTAAAAAATGCAAGCGTATGTTAAGGACTGTAAATGATAACTGTTACATATCTTTCTCAGATTTACCAGAACATCCAAATAGCACAACAGAGACAGAAAATCTCTTTTGAAAAACGCAAGGGAAAGAATGTGAAATCTTTCCTGATTAACGTTGGAGATGAGGTCCTAAGAGCGAAATAAGAGGAAGGAGGGCCGAAAAGGTGGAAAACTGGAGTGCAACTGGTTTGGCCCTTATGTGGTTTCCTCAATCACCAACAAGGGTGTGGCAACCCTGTTGAGCTCAACAGGAGCTCAGCTGAGACAGAGTGGTGAATGTGTCTCAGCTGAAGCCCTTTATCAGGCCTATGTTGAGAGGTATTTTGATTATTCAATACAAGGACAACATTTTAGGTATACTTCATGTGTGGTACTTCAATAATACTATTTTTTGTCTATCTAATAACAGCTGAACCGAAGTTGGATTCGGAGGGGTCTGTTGCTGACCACCAGTATGCCCTCTCTGGTGCGAAATACGCAAAGGATCTACATCCGATTCAAGACAAGCTGGTAGATATATGTTTACTTCATGCACAGTGATGGAGGTGCATTGTTTTGATTTTAATTTTTCTATGTTTTCTATTGGCTTGAAGTATGTTTTGCAATCTGTTATTTGCAGCTCAGCTATGTGCTAGACCACAATAGGCCTGGAGCAGAGGTCATTGTGAAGGAGGGTGATGTGTGCCTGACCAGAGAGGACTTTTGGAGCCTGGGTCTTCCTCAGTGCATGGAGTCAAATGTAGGTATACTTGAGCTTTCCTCCCAACTTCATCTTGTCTCAAATAAATGGCACAGGTAACTTACTGTTGTTACTGTTTCAGATTGGAAACACGTGCCTGAAGATGGTACAAGAAGCCACCCAAAGACATGTACGGTTTTCAACAGACATCATTGGCCTGCTTTTTTCTTTTGAATAACACATATTTTCTAAATAGCTGTTTAGTGGTGAAACTCCAATCTCGTGAAGTGTGGTTGTCTCTTGTTGTTGAACATACTTCTATGAAGATTTCATTTTTTTTGAAAAACTATCAATATAGGGCAAAGATATATACATCGTGGATATGTATGTGGTTCCTACCTGGAAGTCCAAAACAGCTGACGTGTTGGCCAGTTTTCCAGTAAGTTCCTGTTGCTTGAGACCTATGTTTCTTGAAATTGATATACAGCAACTTAAAATCCCTTGTTTAAAATACTAGGCTGACCAATTTGGCCACCAAGGACATGGTTTTCATCCCTGCCTGGAGTCGGCAGCAAGGAAAGGCAGATCACTATTTGCTTTGCGTGAGTCTGTTCCAAATGATCTCACCAGCATGTACAAAATGAACATAAGTTGTGCTGTGTGGTTTTCTTCTGGTGTTTGATTATGTCTAATTTCAGCTATTTTGTCAATGGTTGACAGGTGATCAAGCCAGCAAAGAGAGAGTTATATTTGCTCGACCCTCTTAAGCCAGATGGCTTTGGGGACAATTCCTACAAGGACATATTTAGGTTTTTGTAACATGATTACCCCCACCGTTCTGTGGCTTGTATGGGAGTTCTAAATAGTTTATAGTATTCTAATACTGCAGTAACCATCTTGTAGACCAGGGGTCTGAATCTGATCAAATTCATTTATAATATATCTCCATTTCCACAAAGTCTGGAGTGTCCTTAGTGGAACCAAAAGAAAAAGAGTCTGCAACAGGATGCTATGAATTATAATGTTCATTTTGTTATAAGCCTTGTTCAAAGGTTGTTTTCAAGTTCAGCTTTGTTCAGAGGCTGGTAAACGTATTTTTGTTTGTTTTATTTTAGCCCCGTTCAGTGGCTTTCATAACTTTCCTCTTTTAAGGCATGCAATAGTTCAATGTAAGGAAATCCAAAAACATGAATTATATTGAGTATAGCGTTCCTTCACCAAATCAATTCCCATGTCTTATCATTTCTTTTGACAGTGACCTAGCGCACCGCATTGCTCCAGGTCAGTGGACAGTAAAGTTCGGCAGAGACGTCAAGGTACATTTCTCCACCATCTCATACACCTGCTTTCACATGTCTTTATTTTACATTTGACCATGAACATCACTGTTAAATTCCAAATTCTTACAGGGTTTGCCTCACCAAACCACGGGCAATGACTGTGGTGTCTTCATACTGATGGTAAATTCCTCCCTTGACACTTTTTTTTAAGGGGTTTTGTTAGTTTTTGAAACTCATAACTTAACAGATCTTTATCCTTTCACAGTATGCACTCAACTTCAGCACAGATGCTCCACTTTGGTTTACCGAGGTCAGTATTTATCCTCTGAGTTAGTATTTCAGGGGGAAGAGGGGGCTAACATTGAGTAGACAAATGATGAGGTTCCATTCATTTTCAACTTTATTATTGTTACATTTTCTTTTAGCGGGACATAGCACAGATCCGGAAATGGTGGTGCATTATGCTCATGGAACGGTACCAGATTGAAGGGTAAATCATACATTTTAAATGTTACTTTATAGACAACAGTTTCTTTGACACTGATTTACATTTTCATCCTGATATTATGTGATTTTTATAGCCACGGACAGAGGTTTCTTACTGGACCAATGAGGCCGAAGAGCTGCTCAAAGGGGCACTGGAGCCAGTGTACAGGGTCTCAAAGAAGCAAAAGACAGAACATGAGGTCAATAGGCACACTCCTGTTTGTGATAAAGAAATGTAACAATCCAGATTATTTAACACATGCATACATATCTAAACTAATCTCGTTTAATTTGGCATATTACTCTCAATGAATATAAGAAAGCACTGCGTAAAGCGAGAGCAGCCTACTACTCTTCATTAATAGATGAGAATAAGAATAATGCAAGATTTCTTTTCAGCACTGTAGCCAGGCTGACAGAAAGCCACAGCTCGATTGAGCCTTCGATTCCCATAGCACTCAGTAGTAATGATTTTATGTGCTTTTTTAACGATAAAATTGTTACTCTTAGAAACAAAATTAATGACCTCTTGCCTTTGACCAGTATAGTGTTATCATCAGCTCCCGGAAACGTAAGTTCTAATATTACACTAGATAGTAAACTAGAATGCTTTTCAGCCATAAACCTTGAACAATTAAATTCAATGATTCTCTCTTCTAAACCATCAACGTGCATGTTAGACCCAATTCCAACTAAGCTGTTGAAGGAAGTTTTTCCATTAATTAGCACTTATTTATTAAATATTATGAATATGTCTTTATTATCAGGCTATGTTCCACAATCATTCAAAGTAGCAGTGATAAAACCGCTTCTTAAAAAGCACAACCTCGATCCAGAGGTTTTAGCCAACTATAGACCTATTTCTAATCTTCCGTTCCTCTCAAAAATTCTTGAGAAAGCGGTCGCAAAACAGCTGTGTGATTACTTAAAAAACAATGATTTATTTGAAGCTTTTCAGTCTGGCTTTAGAACACATCATAGCACAGAGACAGCTCTGGTTAAAGTCACAAATGACATTCTAATAGCCTCTGACAAGGGACGTGTCTCTATTCTTGTTTTGCTCGATCTCAGTGCTGCATTTGATACTATCGACCATGATATCTTATTGCAAAGACTAGAGCACTTAGTTGGCATACAGGGAACTGCTTTAGACTGGTTTAGGTCCTATCTATCTGAACGCTCTCAGTTTGTACGTGTCAATGATGAATCTTCCACGCAAACCAAAGTTAGCCATGGAGTGCCACAGGGCTCAGTGCTCGGACCTATTTGTTCACATTATATATGCTTCCGTTAGGCAATATTATAAGGAATCATTCTGTAAACTTTCATTGTAATGCGGATGATACTCAACTATATTTATCAATCAAGCCTGATGAAATTAATCATCTAAATAAAATTCAAGACTGCCTTAAGGACTTAAAAACGTGGATGACCTTAAACTTTTTGATGTTAAACACGACCAAAACTGAAGTTATTGTACTTGGCCCGAAGAATCTACGAAACAAATTATCTAAGGATATACTAACTATGGATGGCATTAATTTGGCCTCCAGTGAGACTGTAAGGAATCTTGGTGTTATATTTGATCAGGATTTATCCTTTAACGCCCACATAAAATCAATTTCAAGGACCGCCTACTTCCATCTACGTAACATTGCAAAAATCAGGCATATCTTGCCTCAAAACGATGCAGAGAAACTAGTCCATGCATTTGTTACTTCAAGGCTGGATTATTGTAACTCTTTATTATCAGGGTGTACCAAGAAGTCAGTCAAGTCGCTTCAGCTGATTCAAAATGCTGCAGCTCGTGTACTAACCAGAGTTAGGAAAAGGGACCACATTACTCCTGTTCTGGCTGCCTTACACTGGCTCCCTATAGAACACAGGATAGAATTTAAAATTCTTCTTCTCGCCTACAAAGCCCTTAATGGGCAGGCGCCATCTTACCTTAAAGAACTCATTATACCCTACTGTCCTACTAGGGCATTGCGTTCCAATAATGCAGGGTTGTTGGTTGTTCCTAGAGTCTCTAAAAGTACAATGGGAGCCAGAGCCTTTTCTTATCAAGCTCCACATTTGTGGAATCAGCTTCCAGTTTGTGTTCGGGCGGCAGACACCCTATCCGTTTTTAAGAGTGCGCTTAAGACCTTCCTTTTTGATAAAGCTTATAGTTAGGGCTGATTAGATCCAGCCCCTAGTTTTGCTGATATAGGCTTAGTTTGTCGGGGGACATCTTACTTCTTCCTTCTCTCTGTCTATACCTGTGTACTCTCATGTTCCGATTAACCCAGCTTCCCCAAATGTCTTTCTTTTTGGTGTCTATATACGCCGGGATCCGGAGTCATGGATGATCCTGCGCTCCTCTGTCCTGGATCGCGAGCCCTGGATCTTGAGTCGTGGCTGTGGTCCTGGATCATAGGTCCTGGATGGATATCCTCGTGGATTCATCTTCCTATTATACACACATGCATTTCCAAACATTTGGACTACCTATGTTGCAAATGTATTATCTTTTCAATTTACACACGGCATCTATTGCACGTCTGTCCGTCCTGGGAGAGGGATCCCTCCTCTGTTGCTCTCCCTGAGGTTTCTCCCATTTTTCCCTTTAAACTGTGGGTTTTCTCCGGAAGTTTTTCCTTGTACGATGTGAGGGTCTAAGGACAGAGGGTGTCGTATTGTCATACTGATATTTTGTACAAACTGTAAAGTCCACTGAGACAAATGTAACATTTGTGATATTGGGCTATATAAATAAACATTGATTGATTGATTGATATCAATATTGATAATTGTATACACATGTAATTAAACAATCACATGACCCACACCTTATATTTTCCTTCAAAGGTCCAGTTTCAAAAGTCCGACATGTGCTTCATATTGGAGGTAATATCTTTTCAGTGAAGCAGTAACTGTTTTTTGTTTAAAAAACGACCTATGATCACGGCAGAATTTCCAACTATTATGTCTCACTGCTTTTTTTAACTTTATTGATAGCTGTTTTTTACCTCAAGGAGAAGAATAACAAAACATAAGAAAAATGTGTGTGATATATTCAACATTAATATTAAAAATGTGTATTTTTGCTACCCTGAAGCCCAAAGAATCTTGGTATTTCGATTGTGCTGGCAACAGTCTAGTCAATGTGTTGTTAAATATGTTTGATCTAGTCTGACCAATACTTCACAGCTGCCAAACTGTCTTCTCTCGGACCTTCTGATGGAAGTGGTTCTCCAGGAAGGTGACAAAGCGTACTCATCACTCACTCTAGTGTGTACCACCTTCAGAGACACAATGTCCACTGTGTCTTTCAGAAGAGGGGCCCACTTTCGCTGGCTTGAGAGTAAGTGATTCAGTGAAGGTGCAGCACTATACGACAGCTGTGGTGTCTATGCATATTTTTAATGGCTCTATTGAAATGCTTGTTTACACAGGTGTTGCTACATGGAGTTTGTTCTCTGCTTCATACAAGCAGGATTTCAACGTCATGTACACCATTGACACCTGCCGTGGATGCTTGGAGCCTTACAAAAACTGCAAACCAGGTAGACTTCTTATTCTGGATAATAATGTTTATGTGTCATTACATATTTAGTGTGTTGTGGTCCTAGTGTGATTCAATTACAATATTTTCTTTTTCTATTCATAGGATATGTTGGGAAAGGTAAAAGAGGAGAATTGCAGGGCATCTACTCTGATGACCAACATCCAGGCTATTGCAGTCCCTTCTGCAACCAGATATCATAGGTAAAGATTAACTCACACAAACAAATGTCAGAATAGACTAAATTGTCACTGCAATTAATGAAGATCATCCTTTGATATCTTACCTTCAAGTTTGGTTTTCCCGGACGCTGCCCGTCATGGACTTCGGGTCGTGGACTTCGGGGTCGTGGCTGAACCTGTCTCTGCAGTCCTGCCTTGGGTCATGCTGCTTCCCTGATGGCTTCCTCATATATTCTGAACAATCTGTGCTGTTTTCCTATCCACATGTAAAAGGAACTAGAAGGATTTCTTGATACTAAGGGCTGTAGAGAAAAGTTTGGAGCTTTTTCCATTAACGTTGAAGTTCAAATTCTCAATAAACACTTGAATGCTGTGCTGTCTTTCTATTTACTTGAATGTGTGAATTCATTCAGTTGGGGTAGGTAAGCTTGGGATGGATATATTAAATATATACATACAAAAAATTAGAGACTCTTTCCAATGAAAGTAGCTAGCCGCAATAGCTCCAAGATTGCTATATCTAGTTTGTAGGTCGCCAAGTTGGCATCATTGACAGTTCGTCTCTTAAAGCCTCTAAAGCTCTGCAACAAAAAAGGATCATTATGAATGTAAATACTATACATGGTAATGCAGCAGGGCATAGTGCGATGAGGCAGGCAGGCAGAACCAGATTTATTTCTAAATATTGTCGATCAATATTAGGCTACACTAATATAAGGCTACTAGTATTATAATATTACTGCAATAATATTCCAGTGGTGGCTGCTTAAGGTTGTTTCTGGCTCGTTTGATCCAAACATTGTCCAAAGCTCAAAATGTATTGTAATAGATGTAAGAATTCTCAAAATGTACAATATGTTTTGATCCAACACAATATTCTGATTCAATCCATATATGTTAGGGGGTTTTTTTTCACCAAAATAAATAGACTGCCTTCTCTCCAGCTCCCCGCACACAAAGGGGGGGGGGGCATCTGTATTAACGGGTCAGTCTATAAGCACTCTAACAGCACCATAAATTACATTTAAATAACCACAAAAAGACAATTATTGTTTCCGATATTGATTTAACGAGATGCTGTTATAACATGGAAACGGCTTAATTTAAAAAAAATAAGCTTCAAAAATGTTTATGAAGCACACTGGGTACAGCCCTGTAATACATGTGTTCCGTGTGTATATAGTCTTACGCAAGAAACACATAGCATGAACAGACTGCAAACAAAACCAGTCTTACAAAACAGGACTTCTGCTAAACTGGTGCAGAAGCAAAGCATCTGCCTTAGATGAAGTTCACACAGAACTGTGGAGAAAGGAGAACATCTGTACTTGCTTTCAACGACATGATCAGGCTATATATTATAAAAGTGTTGGCTAAAGTAACGCAGAATATATATATTTTTTAATTGTAAATAATTAAGTACACACACATAACAAGCTGTACCGAGTTCCTCCGGCTGCAGTTCCGCAGACGGCCGGTGTGTGGCAGCATAGCGCTGGGAGCAGAGGGAGGTGAGTATATGACGGATATGACGGATGACGGATGCGACGGAAATACACCCGAACATATCTGGTAGGCCGAACATATCTGGTACTGACACCGCCATCCTCTCGTCTCCAACGCGGGACGATTACACATAAACGTGCAGCAGGGTGTCACCGTGTTTTCACCAGTGGCGGGCCGTGCATTTCACACCTAGGCCTTCAGTGATGTCCGACACAGTCCTACCTGAATTATTGTTTGTGGACAGGGTGGTTAATGCAAGTCTGTGTTTGTTCTCAGCAAGCAAAGAAAGAAGCTCCACGTAGTTTCCTCTGTTTCTGGACTCGGCGCTTTCATCATGTCCCCTAAATGAAAGTTCCTGTTTACCCAAAAACAGGACACAATCAATCAGTCTTTTCAATATTTCCCTATTTGTGTTCACCCTTTCGTTGTGGAGCTCCGTTTCCCGGCGCACTTGTTCGTTGAGCTGTAGATCCACTCGGGTGTCCCCAAAGGTTTTCAAAAGCACCATTGCTTGTAAGTGCCCAGCCGTGCTTTGGTGTCTTGTTGCTGCCTTGGTTAGACAACTCAAGTTTGCAAATCCAGTGTGGCTCCAACACCAAATCGCTCATTTGCAAATAGCAGGCATTCCCAGCAGTACAATTTGCAGTGGCCTCTCGGAGGCTGTGAGCCAGGGGTACCGCTCGTAGTTAGTGATTTGAAAGTGGCGGACAAACCCTTTCCCCCGCTGTGATAGGCTCGCTAGCGTCGGGGTTGGCCATTCTCTTCTCACAATGTCTAGCTTTTCTTGAAAAGTTCGTCTTGAAAATGGCGTTGTAATTATATCTGCGACCAAATCGATCTCTTCTCCTCCTTCAGCCATGTGGGTTGAAAAAAAAACAGCTTGTAGAAATCTACACAAATTGGCTCGTTCAAATTCAAGTTCAGTTTGCTAGCTCTACATAGCTCTGCCTCTCAATAGTGCGTATCCAATCAAAAGACGTGCACGTGCTGACGTCATCGTACGCCTGCTAGCTTGCCCGTTGTCGCCAACTCAAAATCTGATTGGTTAACGCCACAGTTTTGTTTCCGTTCACTTTAAGCTACAGGCGCCCGCACTGTTGATTCTGAAGGCCTAAGGGCAGATTTATTGGACCCTGGCAACACATTATGGCTGAAATATGATTGGATAAAAGCTCTAACATAAAGGCCAGCCCTCCAAATCTTGTTCTGAGGCTGGAAGCAGCGCAACCAAGAGGAAAGCTATGAAATGAAAAGAATAGACTATGGGGAATAATTTAATACATATTTGTGGAAAAAATATATCAAAATTAAATTTATATTCTGATGATGTTTAGGCCAGCAGAGAAGGCCTTGCTGGCCCTGACGGCCCACCACTGGTTTTCACCAATGTTATTGTAAAGTTTCACAGCTTTTTTTACTGCGGAATCCAGTTTGTTAATGTTCAGTAGCCAACAGCTATCATAGCATAAACTGCTAACCACTAACGTTTGGCTAACTTGCTAGTTAGCTCTGCTCTATATATTACAAGCTAACATGACTAGCTAATGAGTGAACTAAAATAGTTGTTGTATTACTACATCATACATGCTTGGTCCAAATCTCTGCTAAAATTATTATTTTTAACAAAATTATCATTAAAGTATCTTTATTTTTTTGCATTTGTATCACACTTGGCATAAACTATTTTAGTTAATCAATTAGAACTGGAGAATTAAAATAATGATTTGTGGTAATCAAAAACAATGTATTTAAAGAAACACTAGGAATAACATAGGAAATAATACGGATACTTTTTTACCCATGTTGTGCCTTAGAAGTGATACAAACATGATTTTTATTAAAAAAAGTAAGAAAGTTAAAATGAAAATTAGAATTGGTGTTGATCAAAAACAGGTTAATTGAGGAATTCCTGGAGGTATTTTATTGCAAAGATATTTACAATTTAAACTAATTTGGGTCACTTTTGATGCATGTTGGTTGTATGTTGTGTAACAAAGGGTTACCATGACAGCTGTGATGTTCACTCTTTTGACAGAGCACCAGTGGACAGTGAAGACAATGGAACAGAACATGTGATGGCTTTGTGTGGAAAGTTGCTGAAGCCAGCCGGTGACTCCTCATCAGTCTCTCCTGGCAGCACCCAGCTATTCTTCCATCTTGCAGATGAAAAGACTTTGATATGTGAGTAATAACTAACTTGTCTCTAACATAATATTGAATGTCAGTGTTTCCCCTAGGTTTACTGCTGATATATTCTTTAAATCCTCTGGAGCAGAGAGAGGAGCTGTGGATTATTGTTATTGATTAATGCATCAGTGTTTCTTAGGGTCAAAAACACTAAACTCAACTTAAAATGAAAGCGTTTAGTTTATTTAATAAAAGAGCTCATGTTCAATGTGAAAAGTGACCGTATATATAGATTAGTTGCAATTTGGTGCTATATATATTTAATACAAAAATAATAATACAAAAATATATATGGGTTAGGGTTAACCCTATCCAGTGGTTAGTTTTAGGGTAAGCTCCACTGTTTTTTTATTTTATGTATTCACTTTAAGAGAAAGGGATTTCAGAAACAAGTCTCACAAGTTTGGCTCGAGGTAAAATTAACAAAGGTAACTGTTGTTACCCCTTCTAAACTTATGAAATAATGAGAAAATATGAACGACTCTTCATAGAGCCACGTCCATACAGCTTTAAAGTTGTAGGAAGCTGAAGCATTACATTCGTGCCAATGGCTAGTTGTCGTTTCTAAGGTATTAGAAAGTTGGTGTTCTGGAAGGTTTAGCATGGGATCAATGCCCTTGGGATGCTCTCAATAACTGTTTTACAATTTTGTGTGTGTGTTTTGTGTAACCCTGCTTCAAAGGTCCATCATACAAGATGTAGGGGATCTATTGGCAGCTGCTGATAATAACATCCATCATTATGCTTATTATTAGCCCCCTTATGATGGGCCTTTCCGGGTCTTGGAGCACGGGGACAAGCACCTGGTGGTCGACCTGGGGTGGCAATGGCCGAGCACGTCTCGGTGGACCGGGTGAAGGCTGCTCACCTGGACTTGGACCAGCCTGTGGTGCTGGCTCGACCTCCGCGACGGGGCCGCCCCCCGGCCTCGTCCCCTGTCACGGAGTTAAGACCTGTTGTTCCGGTCCCTCCCCTTCCGGGGGCCCGCACAGGCGGGAGTCACTTTTCCGACTCCCGTGCTCAGGAGTCGTGGGGGTCGGCGTGTCGTTCCTCCCCGCCATGCTGATTTTGTTTATGTGTCAATTCTGGGGGGGCTTGTGTGGTGACACGTTATTGGACATAATTCACCTTGCTTATTGTGTTGCCACACGGACCCTTTAGTGGGGAACACCTGTAGCTTTAGCTGCCATTCCTGCTAGCTCATCAGGCAGAGCAGTGCATGTGTTAACCTCTCTGAAAGTAATGGATAATAAAGATTGGAACTCCATTCTTAATACACCGCCTCCGACTCTCTTTTCACGGCACTACAATATTTTATTTTTTTAATTATAAATAAACTGTGAACTTTTATGCTACGATGTATGTGATGTCACAACAAACAAAAAAAATCGCAGGCTACGTCAAATAAATGCATGTGTCTGTGATTTTTGATTCGTC